GTAATTTTTCTAACTTTTAATTACTACTAATGAATTAATAAAAAATAATCATCACTCGGTATATTGACGAACGTTCGTCCGATTGGTAAAGTGTGAGGCGAAAAGACATTTCACCGTATCGTGAATAGGGTTGAAATTGGAAGTGATCCAAGAATCGAACTGTGAGATATTGGATTAAGATCGGTAAATTTACTTGAAAATTGAATGAATCGCTATTATATCGGCACTTTCGAAGTGCTCTAACTCTCAGTTCGGTATATTCAAAATCACCGGACGTTTTATTGTCGGTTTTTCTTTAGAATAGTTCCTAATGGCTATTCCAATTTTTTTTAAAGTCTTCATTTATTTTGTCAAAAACTTTCGCCGTTTTCAAAAGCAGCTGGGCGCGTGCTGAGATGATTTTAGGTCAGGAAAATACGAGTAAAGTTAGAGACAAAATATTTTAGGTATTTTAACACAATACGCAAACCTTTTTATGATTTTTCATATAAGACAACTTGACAACGCTACTTTTCAAATAATAAAAATGACAAATCAAACCTTAAAGACACAAAGATACGAATCATTGCCGTACTCTAAAATAAATCCAAACCGACACATTTTTCTTTGGCTCACACCCATTTGAACTGCAATCACTCGCGTACTTGTTGGATCTTCTTCGTTGACATTTAAAATGTTTTCTTCTGAACGCACTTTATGTCTTCTTGGAAAAACACGCTACTAAAATCTCATACTACTGAATTACAATAACCGGTACGCAATAAAGCGTAATTCATAAGAAAAACTGAAAATAAAGGCAAAAAGTCCAGTCCCGAATTTAGATTTTTTAATTTTGTATCTCTCTTATTTTTGAGTTTTTTTTTTAATTATTTGAAATAAATAAATAAACATATATTTATTTATACACAGTTAAAAAATTATTAATTTAGAATTCACCCTGTCATCATTATTATAAAATGTAATTATTATCAGCAAACACCGGTCATGTAATATTTATTATTTATATAAATTATCTTGCTTATATTTTTTATATACCGACAAACAAATATAAACAAAATAAAGTTATTTCATCAGTGTTCAACTTCAATTTTTGTAACATCTACTACCTACTTGGACCAAACTTCAATTAACTGAAAGTTGCCAGAGTTCAAAAGAATCTCTTTCGAAAACGTTTTGCAGTGTTTTTATAAAAGACGTTTCTTGAAATAAGTATCTCGTAACTTTGGAAGTCGATCGAAAGTTTAGACAACAGAACATCACATAGTTGTGTAGAAAGTAGCAAATATTCTACAAAGAAACGCAATTTTGATTGTAGAAAAGTTACACCTTCGCAATATTTTCTCTTTGACAATGATAATGCCTGGAAACAAGAAAACACCGCGGTATATGTAGAAGCGTATAGAAGTGCATGGCAAGGCAAAAGGGGGAAATGCTTCCTCTTGAAAAGTGTTTCGAACCGCAAAGAACTAAATTATACCTCAAGAATAAAAATTAAGCTTAATTATATAAAGATAAAGATGTGCTGTCATTAATAATACTCAAGAACTGGCAAATTTAATATACTCAAACGTGCATAGTAAAACTAACAGAACTTTTTCAAATGATAAGGACTCTTCAACCAAACAAATAATAGATTAGAGGAAGCCAGTTTCTCCCAAACGCCTAGATATTCTTGCAGACCACTCTTTAAAAGCCATCAATTTCTAACGATTCATTATTTTAGACAAATTCAGCTTAGTATGTAAAACAAAGATACTTATGCTAATAAATACCAATATATCTGATATATTTTCTGGCTAGCCTCTGGTTGTTTCGCGATTAAAACTACCAGGGAGAATTGAAATTTGTAGCAGCAATTTAAGGTATGCAATACAGTTTTGGGGAAAGAACTATTCCGTAGTGAATTTGTTCTCCAAAAACTACTACTATTCCAGGCAAAATATTCTCTCTTTAAAACTCAACAAATTTTCACGCTGACTTCACTTTTTATTAGGGCTAATAGCTCTTCATATAAAAAACAAATTACTTATGCAAATACTAATCTGTTACATTTTCTGGAAACTTGGCTGGACATCTTGATTACTAAGAAGAACTGCAAGTGTTCCCGATAGAATAAAATATAGAAATCTATCTAATCTCATACACACATTTAACAAAACAAAGCTATATACAATTTAAAGGATTAGGTCTATAGTAAAAAGTGCTCCTCAAAAATATTTCTAAAGTAAAAAACGATCGAAAAGACGACTCATATCCATGATAACTAAGCACCGGCCTTACATCAAATTGAAACATTTTCAAAGAAGAAGAACTGTACGCTGCGACGTGTAAATTTTTCCAAGACATTCTTTACAAATATGTTTTATAGATTATTTTATATAACTGTAGGTGTAAGTTTTATTATTCTGTATCTGTAACGTATGACACTTAGGCCTCAGTAGGCCTAACTAGGCCCATTGCGCATCCTCCTAAGATGATAGGCACCTCCTAGCTCGTGAGTCAGCCTACATATTTAATTTAGTTGATAAAGTCCCCAAGAGGTGTTTCTCTTACATCGGCCTGTAATAGCCGATACTCGTCGAACACAAATCTTCTAAAGGCGGGTACAGATCTGAGCACGTACGCGTATGAGGCAAGCCAAGGCCGAACCAAATGCCTCGTGCGACGAATTTTATATACACGAATGGTGGACGCACGAGGCGCTATTCGTCACTGATCCAGTAAATTCGCGAGCACGCAACCGTATACCCAGAACATTTGTAAAATTAAAACAAAAATAAAGGATGAGGATGACGTCGCGGAATTGAGTGCATGTTTTAATATTTTATCCGACACATTAAAGAAAAAAGATAAGAAAGGAATCGATGGCCGATTTTCTGTCAAGGATATTCTTGTTTTATGGTGTTGTATATTAGAACTGGCGTTTTGCTCTTTTAAGATATCACGTTAATTATTTAAATCCAGGAGAAGCAATATGCTTTTTGGTTCCACTCCATGCAAAATAAATCCTAAAAACTCGCTATAATCTGTACGGTGCTGTATGGTACAAATTCCCCGTCCAGACTGAGCACGTACTGTTCATTGTCTTCCTTTGATGTACCGCCAACAAACGGATCGGGGCAAAGCCCTACGGCGCACACCGAAGCCCGTCCACATCTGCATGCTCATGTGTCCTCGGCTTGCCTCAGACGCATACGTGCTCAGAGCTGTACCCGCCTTTAAGGATATGCTCCATTGTCTCATCTTCTTGTTCGCACCCTCTGCAGAGTGCGGATTCTGACAGCTCCATGATATGAAGATGCTTTCGTACTTGGCAATGATCAGTGACAGGCGCAGATTTTGTGTATTTGTTTGCTGCATTGTTGTTAGGATAACTTAAGAACTCCCTGGCAACTCAGCAGTTTCTTGTTTCATCCCTTCTTTCCTTGAATTTCACAAGAATATGTTCTTTAATTAGGTTTGTCACTAACAATTTTGTTAGGCCAATAGAGGGGCCAGGTCCAAAAAGTATTTGGTTGGCTGCTTTCTTGGCTAGTGAATCAGCCAGAAGGTTACCTTTCGATATGGCGTGACCATTGATCCATCTTAAGGTGACCAAATTATTAATGGATACTTCGGCAAAAGCTTCGTGACATTCTGGTACTAACCCTGAGTAAATTCGTGGTCTGTTCAGGGTGAGTAGTGCTTGTCTACTATCTGTATAGATGAGCATGTTTCTTCCTGCGATATTGTTTCTGGTGATTTCATTTGCTGCTATGAGAATCCCTGTTTGAACTACACTGGCATTATTGCTTACAGCCCATTTTATGTTTAGGTTTAAGAATCTGGGGTATATTCCACATCGTGAGCTTTGTTTTGTTTTAGAACCGTCGGTGTAGATATGAATCGTACCTGCCACTTCCGGCTCTTTTATTTGTTCTGTTATAACTTTATATGGCTTATAGAAGATATATCTTGGTGAGATGGAGTCCATGTTCGATTGAAGCAGTGGGAGCGTATCGAGAGCCTCCTGCCAAAAGCGACGTCTCGCCTCACCAGATCTTACATCTGGTTCTATTCTAACCGTGCGGAGGCGTGTAAATATCAAGGGAGTGAGACTAAGAATGATTTTCATGGGCCTGGTCGGTGTTGTTTGCATGTTAAGACATACTGTACTTTGAATTTATTCTAGTTTACGGATATCTGTTAGTTTCTGGGTTTTCGGTACCCAGACAACTTCACCGTATGTTAGTATAGGTCTTATGATAACCGTGTAAGTCTATGCGACGATTCTGGGGAAGAAACTCCAGGTGCGCCCCACGGTTTGTCGGCATTGTTCATAAGCAATGTATGGTCTTTTGAGTTTTATTATTAAAGTTCCATTTGTAATTTATAAAATGCAGTTTTTTGTCATGCCAAAAATCTTCCTCTCTTGATTTACCCTACTCATTTATCCCCAAGAATGTTATTTTTGCTAAGAGGTAGTTTTCATATTGCTAAGGGGATGATATATTATTTACCACTTACCACAAAGCTAAATTATACTAAAAAAGCGTGGAAGAAAGTATTTTTTGGTATATTTTCAAGTTTGAGGTAGTTTCACTTTCTTCACCTACAAGGATTGACCCTATGAGCCTTTGGGGTACATCACCATGCCATTTTTCTCAAAAAATTTTTAATTTGGTAAAAATTTTAACATTGCTAAGGGGTTGGTAACTTATTCACCTCTTGACCGTTTAGGGGAGTGGGAAATAGGGTGGGGTTTTTAAGGTTAGCTTGCGCTTAAATTCGGGCATAAAAGATCTACATATCCTACCTAAACTTAAATTTACTATTGTAAATTCTGGCCCTATGTGCAATAATATTAAAAGTGCCATTTTTTCCACGTTGCTTTGGTATATGGGGCAAACTGGGGAAACAAGGGGGCAATATGTGGTATAGAAATAATGATAAACAAAATCTAATGACTAATCTTCAATACACATACCACATAAATGAATCATTCCGTCATCCTCATCTACCTTGCGCAAGATTGATCTTAATGAATTTAATCCATCTCTCTAATGACTGACACCATAGGTAGCCACAGTAAATGCATTTAGCATCTACATCATCTTCATTGGTCGAGGACGTATTTGACGTCGTTTTTTCTTTACTAGGCTTTCCGTTTTTCTTTTGTTCTCCTTTAGAATCTTTAACAACTTTGGTAATTTTTCTTTTGCGTTCTTTTGTTTTTTTAGTTACTTTGTCCTGTTCTGCAGAAAGAAGATCTAATGCGATATTTTTGGTAACTTTTCTTCTATGTTGATTCGTTTTTTTTCTTTTCCTTAGTCTCTTTTAAAGCAATAAGTTCGTTTTTGTAGGGCGACTTAGTAATAATTGCTGTCTTTTCCGTTCGCTTGGTAGCTTTTTGCTTTGTTCTATTTTCCTTCGACAGCGGTATTATTTGTTCTGGCATCGTGATGAATGCTGATGTAATAGGTCTATCAGACAGTCAAATATTTAATTTTAATGTTATTTAATCAAAGCCATTTAGTTGGAATCAAATATCTGGGTAACCAAACAAAAAAAAATATTTATTTTCTAGCAACACCATTTTTTACTATCGGTGAAAGAAAACGACTAGCCGGTTCAAAAAATAGGGTGTACTTATACCAACTTCAAATGTAAAATAGTCGGAATCAAATATTTCCGTTCCTAGACATAATATATTTGTGATCTAACATAATTTAGGTACAAATATCACATATAATATACTTGAAAGAGAACCTCTTGCACGTTCAAATGGGGCGTCAATATACCTCTAAAGAAACTTTGTACTTAGTGAGCGTGTAAACCTTTATTTCTATGAAAGGCACATTTTAATTTTCAAAAATTTGAGCTATGGGGGTTTTTATATATTCAATTTTGTAGAATTGAACGAGTAAAGTTTTACATATTTATACCTCAAGCGGTTGCCAAAATATTTAATTTCAAAATTATTGGATTCTGTAAAAATATCGCGACGAATTGATAACCTCCTCCTTTTTTGAAGTCGGTTAATAAAAATTAACACAAATTAGAGCCATAATCCCATTCTGTCCTTACTAATAATGCTACCGTGATTTCACTATACACAAACGTTATACATGGGCGTACTTCTCCTACTTGCATATAATGCATATCGTGTCGGTATTCGGTGAAGCAGGGGACTTTTTTTAAATAAAACCACATTTTCATACCGCCGCATCTCTATTAGTTATAACCGATCAATATCGTACAATGTACCATTTTGTAGGTCCCATTGAGTAAATTCTGAATTACTATGGGCTTGTTGAGTCCACTTCAAGAATAGCGTGGATATGGACATTTAAAGAAAATTACAAAATATCGTCAAAAATCAGGACGTATTTTTTTTTTCATGGCATCTTATAGCTTTTGAGGCGTACTTTCCAAAAATATGTTGATTTTTTGTCCATTTCTACGGGAAATGCCTCAAAATAGTCTTTACACATTTAAATGTTTGATTTTCAAATCATCTTATAGAATTCGTTGCGTAGGTTTCGAAAATGTATATACAGTGTGTTTAGCGTTAGTTGGTGGCATATGGAAAACTTTTTTATTATTAATTTTAGGAACAGAAAGTTATTTTTCATAAAAAGTTCTCCACTGGAAGGAACATGCTCATCTATACAGATAGCAGACAAGCATTACTCACCCTGAACAGACCACGAATTTATTCGGGGTTAGTACTAGAATGTAACGAAGCTTTGGCCGAAGTATCCATCAACAATGTGGTCACCTTAAGATGGAGTAAAGGTCACGCCACATCGAAAGGTTACTGTCTTGCTGATTCACTAGCCAAGAAAGCAGCCAACCAAATACTTTTTGGACCTGGCCCTTCTATTGGCCTGACAAAATCGGTAGTGACAGACCTAATCAAAGAACATTCCCTTGTGAAATTCAAGGTAAGATGGAATGAAACAAGAAACTGCAGAGTTGCCAGGGAGCTCTTAAGTTCTCCTGACAACACTGCAGCAAACAAATACTTGACTATGACTAGACAGAATCTGCGCTTAGTCACAGGCATTCTGACTGGTCATTGCCAAGTTCTACAGCATCTCCATATCATGGGGCTGTTAGAATCCGCACTCTGCAGAGTGTGCGAACAAGAAGATGAGACCATCGAGCATATCCTTTACGATTGCTCGACGCTCTCATTTATTTGAAGATTTGTGTTCGGCGAGTATCGGCTAATACCGGCCGATATAAGAGAAGCACCTCTTGGCGACGTGGTCAACTACATTAAATCTGTAGGCTGGCTCACGAGCTAGGAGGTGCATATCATCTCAGAAGGATGCACAATGGGTGTAATGAGGCCTAAGTGCCGTGGGGTAACCCACCCTCCACTCGTTACAGATACAGAAATACAGATGGTTTAAAACATGGGTAGACAACCTTTTGTCGTAAGAGGGCCAAATATTTTAATTGGGCCATATCTCATATATGTCATATATTTTGGGCCATATGACATATATGTTACATAAATTTTGGGCCATATGTCATACATGTCACATATGTTATATATGTTATGCTATATTTTAGTTTAAAAAACAAAACGCTAACTATATATTTTTATAAAAATCCACTAAATTAGTATTTTCCTTAAAAACAATTTTAAGTATGTTATCACTTTGCAATTCTATCACGTTTATTTGCAAATCACTTGGTACATTATCAGTATCCGCTGCGAAGGGAATAAGTTAAATTGCATATACCTAGTGTATTTTGAGTTATATTTGATGTTGCCAGTGAATCTGATAATGAGTTTTGAACATTAATTTTTTTTTTCAAAAATATTCAATAAATTTAGATAACAAAGAACGTTATCATCTGATATCAAATTGTATCAGTTGTATACGAGGTTTGTCCAAAATGTTTTAACAAAACATACCAAATTAGGCTTTCGTTAGGTAATTATCTACTCCAGGTAAATGCCCAATACTGATGTTATAGTCCGTCAGATAGTGACAAGTTTAGGTGCCCCATTTTCGCATACAAGCCTCGAAGAGGGTTGAAAAGTACATCGATTTTAAGTAGAATGAAAGGAAATTTACGTCTAGCTACCGAGGATAACACATTTTTCCTAACAAAAACGAAAGGTTATTTGTTGCCCATATGTCCACGCAAGCCGTTTTCTCTATATGATTATTTAATATAACTAGGCTTTGGAAAACCAAATGTAAGGGCGTAATCTTGTAAGGAAAAATCGAGATTTTGCACGATTTTTCCACACAAGCCCATCGAATGTATGAAACCGTACGTCGTCATTAGTCCGAATAATATATTTTCTTGAATTACCCGAATGTATAAGTGTATTTTGGAGTCGAACATTTTTCTGATAAGGAAAATCGAATTTTCCATTTGTTATCCCCAAGAGCCACTCGTACATTTTCTTTTATTTTACTCAACACCGATGTACGTTTCAACCCTCTTCGAGGCTTGTATGCGAAAATGGGGCACCTAAATCGATCACTATCTGACGGTCTATTAAGTAGCCATGTTTCCATCCTGGGTTATTTTTTTTTTTTAATTTACATAATACCTACTAGACATTTTGACCCTCATCGTGTAGCAACGAAACGATAATTGAATTAATCATCCCTCATGCATGTTAGAACAAACAATGTTAACCGGTGTCTGGAGTTCTTAACGTTCGTAACAAAACGAATTAATACATTAAATGAGTTACCTGGAAGAGAGATCGATATAAATTATCCCGCCCGTCTTCCATGTCCCCAACTGCTTGTTATAATATGTATTATTAGGTTTATTCTCTGGAATTGTTGAAAAGTTATTTAATAAAGGTGGGCCGGTATTTGGGGAACTGGTTTTTTGGAACGGTACTTTTTATCGTTCCAATAGTGGTTAGTTTTTTAAAATCAAAATCAATAATTAATTAAATTGAGATTGTTTTCTGTTAATTCGTTTCTTTTTAATTTTTCGTAATTTATTATCGACGCATCTTTAACCCGAAGAGATATTAGTAAAAAAAGATTATCGTTTTTCGTTTTAAAATCTGTTATTAACTATATACATTTATCTACAAATACAAATAATAAAAACACATTCGATTTTCCTTCTGCTAGCAGTTGGACAATCCCAATGTTCTGGCCGGCATTTCTATTTTTTCCTTATGGTTTTGGCTTTCCGTCTTGTCCCTTGTCGATTGACATTATCAAGACAGTATGGTGAGTATGGGGCTATCGGTAGTGGTGAGGGTTGAGATTTTGTTTGGCTTTAATTTTGTCGTATTCTCTGAAAAATCGTCCTAAAAAACTGGGTTGTTCTTTGTGTGCGAGTTATTTTTGTGTTTGTCGGTTCTCGTCCAACCCAGTGACGTTCGTTTAGACTTCCGTCCAAGTAGAAATCGAGAGAATCCTCGATTTCTATTCGGAAGGCCGGCCAATTATAACGTTTGCCGTCGAGCTGGCTCATATAAATTAGCCGTGGTGGGTGGTTGTGGTTGTGTCTGTATCTTTTAGTAATCTCTACGCTATCGTGGGGTTATGCCGCTTTGTCCTTTGAATTTACGTGTCTAGCGACGTCTAAAAATTGTCAGGTTTTTGTGCAAGCAGACATGCCGTCTATTGGCACAATTTTCTTCCGTTATGTTAAAAATGTCTTCCTTAACGTACGTTGGAAGACAATTGTGGTAGAAATTCTCGGATTGATTGAGAATAAATTCTTTTCTAAGAGGTATGCCTGCTTCTGTGTGCATCTCAGTTATTCTGCTGTATCGGTTTATTCTTAGGGCTAGTCTCAAATACCTGTTTTGGGTTATTTGTAATCTTTTAAAATGATTTTTTGCTATAGAACAAAGGAAGCGACAACCATATGTTAAAATTGGCCTAATAATTTCTTTATACAGCATGAGTTTGGAATATATGGTGGTTTTGCTGTTTCTATGCAATGTTTTGGTCTTACCTGTATTCAGTCTCATTTTGTTTTCATCCAAATAGGGGATTAACGTTCTGTTAATATGGATCTTAAGCTATTTACGCAGAATCTGAGCTTTTATATAAAAAAGTGTAATCGGTGTACAGTGCCGTCTCTACCACATAAAGACCCATTGGCATGTCATGGGTCATGATGGTGTAGATATGTGGTGAAAGTACCGATCCTTGAGGAAAAGATTATCGGATCTCCAGACGTCAACGAATCTCTGTAACCATCGCAACGAGATCAACGGATTTACAGAGGTTAACAGATATCT